ACCTGCCTGAGTAAAAACACTGAGGAAAGGCTTACACTGGGATTTCTTCCCTGTTTGCCTACAAGAAAAACTGACATGGCATTTTATAGCTGAGGTGCAAAATATGGCAGATGGAATTTTCTGGGAGTTCATAGCTATTTGGTAATATTTGGTACTTGGATTTGTTTATTTATAATGGTTATATATTTTGTTTTCACATATCTTAGGGGATGTTTTGCTGTCTTGGGTCTCTTTAACATGTCCCTTTCATAATATCCTTTGGTACCTAAAGTTTTTAGAGGTACAGCCAAAATGCCCCTTTCCTTTTGGATAAAATGTACAACTTGGGAGCACTAGCTTACGTTCCTACCTGGTCCTTTTCAACTACGGGTCTCACCAATTGTGAAATTCTTGTCACATGAAGCTGCCTTATACTGAATCAGACTCTCGGTCAATCAATATTAAGCTTGTAAATTAGTAACCTACTTTGTTTGTTCTGCTTCTGTATGTCTTGTGGGCTGTAATAAAGTTTTACTGACTGACTGAGTCTACCTGTTCTTCTCAAGCTGTAGCTCAACAATGACTGTTTATGCAAGTTCTTGCTGGAGACTCAGGGATAATGGTCTCCTCAGTGAGCTATTTACAGATCACTACCTGAGGTAAAAGAGCAGATAAGTTAGGATTTTTGTCCTCTTTACTCAAATTTAACATTTAATTTCCTTAACTCCTAACCATCCTTGCCTGCAAGTACATTCTGTTGAAATCAGTGGGAGTAAATTAGTTTGGTGATTGGTTGCCAGGCAACTGTCCTCAAAGTGCATGGGTTAATCAGGCCAGGTCACTTTGCTGAGTTTTAGAAGAAAAGGGCTAATTGGAAGGTGGCAGCTGCCTGTTGCTTTCTGCAGTTCCCTAGCAACCAAAGCATGCTTCCTGGCCATTGGTGGGTGATGAGAGGGTAGGGTTGCCAGATCCAGGATGAGGAATTCCTGGAGATTTGGGAGTGAGTTCTGGGGAAAACAAGGACCTCAGTGGGGTACAATGCCACAGAGTCTGCCCTTCAAAGCATCCATTTTGTCCAGGGGAACTGGTAGTTTGGAGATGGACTGTAATTCTGGGGGATCCCCAGCTCCCACCTGGAGGCTGGCACCCCTATTTCCTGATCATCTCCAGGCCACTGCCAGGTCTTATGGCTTGACCCAAAGTTCCAGGGTTTTTGCATCTTCGGGTGAAAGTGTAAAATATCAAGATGAGGGGCCAAAAGGAGGGGGACAGTCTTTTCTCAGGAGGACCTATACCAAGGCTCCTTAGAATTCTATATTTCAGTCTTGGCTGCCACTGTGCTACTTCCCTGGACCAAAGTACAACCACTTGAAGTGGTGGTGGTCCATCCAGAGGAGAGTGGCCTGCAGCACTTATGTAACTCCAACTCTCAGGCAGCAGCAGAAGTAACAGGAAAGAACCTGGTAGATAGGTAGGAATGGGGTCAACATCAGGGGCAGCAGCCTCAGGAAACAGAAATGATCATGTAAAGGTAGAGCATGTGGAGTGTCATAGCAGACCTCTAGAAGCTCAGCTGGGCAGCAAGGATAGTCTGAGGGGGGGGGATCCCAGGAAATGTCTTGTGCTCCTTGGAGGGCAGGGAACATCTGTGTAAAACCAGTTGAGTAGCCATCCCATTGCTGTTGACTGGAGGCCTGTAGTTTTCGTTGTACATATATTTAGTGTTATTAGGTCAAACATGCCTCTCCTACGTGCTTACAGGGGTGACCTCAAAGTCATCACTGCCCAGAGACTGTGGGAGTGCCAATGGAACTCCTGGCATGGAAAGGGCTGGTAACATGCAAAACATTAGGTGTGGAAAATTCTATAAAATCATATGTGACTGGCTCCAGGTTTTGGGGTGACTCTGGGCAAGAGTGATAGGGTTTAAAGGACCATGAAAGAATTTCACTCTACTGTAGAGCTGTTAACCTTCAAACAGGATCTGGAGATCTCCCAAAATTACAACTGATCTCCAGACATCAGTTCTCCTGCAGAAAAAGGCTACCTTGGAGGGTAGAATATATGGCATTATACCCTGCAAAGGTCCCCTCTGTCTCCAAACCCCACCCTCCCCAGTGTCATGCCTGGCCCTGACCTGGTGCCTGGGAGCTCTGAAACTGAGGACTCCATGCCTTTAACACCATCGGAGGCACGGGAGTCTTTGCCAAACCTAATTACCGAAAAGGATGAGCATCAGCCTCCAGAACAGCCTGCACCTGAAACCGATCAGGCGGTGCCTGGCCCCAGCAGCACGCCACCCGATTCTCTGCCACCTGTCGACCGGCTGAGGGATCGGAGATGCCGGGACTTGGCAACCAGACGCAAAGAGGCACGCTTGCACGGATGGAGATCAATAAGCCCGGAGTTCTAGCGGGATCAAGGACTTCATTAGGCAGTGCGAATGAGGCACTAATGAGTTAACAACCCAGCGAACTATTTGAATAGGTCACTGAGTGCTGGATAATTGTGCTGGCAAACTCGTCCTTCGGACCAGAAACTCTGCACCTCTGACTTTGTTCCTGGTATCCGGCTACTGACTGACTTCCTGGCTCCTGACTCCAGTCCGCGTTTTGACGACCCCCTGGCTCTTGATCCTCAGCTCTGCACCCTGACTTCGACGCTTGCTTATCTGGACTCTGACTCTCAGTAATGCTCTGACTATGGCCTGGCTTTATGTATTGGGACTGTTGCTCTGGTTATTTTGCTCTCTCTCTGGCTTGACTCTCGGATTGGATTGTGAACTCCCCCTCTGCCTTGCCCCACTGGCCCTGTCGTGACACCCAGGGTCTACCCCACATCTTCAGGAATTTTCCAAACTGGGGTTGGTAACCCTGTTTCACTGCCTCCTGAAAATGACTCTCACAGAAGGAAACCTGAAATAGAGCTTAAATGATAATTTCCCATTTCTGGTGGGACTGAAGTGGCCAAACATCTCTAATTGCCCTGTAGGGTTACCAGGTCTAGGTTGGAAAATACCTGGAGACTATGGGGGTGAATCCAGGAGAGGGTGGGGTTTGGGGAGGGGCCTCAGCATGGTACAATGCCATAGAGTCCACCCTTCAAAGCAGCCATTTTCTCCAGGGGAGTTGATCTCTGCAAGGCTCTGCCTTCATCTCAGAATCAGAGCCTCAGTAGACTTAGCAGTTCTATGATGGAGACAATAGGTAGGGTGTGTTCAGCAACTAACGCCTGTGCCAGGGCCTACATCAGACACCTTTGCTGCTCTACTAGCAGAAAAAAGTGATAACAATTAATTAACTAAATCACTAATTAAGCAGACGTGAATCAAATATTTAAAATAAAAATGTGACAGTTATACTGTTAACCTTTTGATGAATAAGAAAGCCTTAGTTTTCTGGAGATTTGACCTCCTCCATGGCACTAAAGGACCCAGCTTCTTGACCTTGTTTGTGATGGTGTGAGGAAGAGAAGGGCAACGACAGAAATTTGGGAAGAGTGGAGGCTGGAGAAGAGGATCACATAGCTTGGAAAGGGATCTTCATTACTTGAGTCGAATAAGACAGCACTGCTGTATTAAATAATTCATGTCAAACTTAAATGGACTCTCTGTGACAGAGGTGTGGACCATATTTGCAGTGTTCAGTAACCAAATGGCACTTGGGGAGCTTTGAGGTTTGTACCTCTGGTTTATGTGAGGAAACCGCTCTAATGGTGATGATGACAGGGCTTATCTGTGTCAATTCTTACCTCCAGAACTTGTTTGCAGTACCAGGGCTGAACATAAGAACATAAGAGACGCCAGTGTTGGATCAGGCCAAAGGCTGGGTTTGTGGTTCCTCTTTTGTATATGAACGGTGGCTTTTCTCCTTGTACTTGAAAGCTGACTGCAGAATGCCTCGAAGCAAGAGCAAAATGCCACCAAAATGGCTAATTAACAATTTATGATGGATTTCTATTCCATCTTGTTAAAGCCAAATTGCATGTGTGTGTGTGTGCACGCGCAACTGTTGCTTGGATTGGGGCCTTACAGGAATAAAAGAGGGAATGTATCCCTTTATCACTCCATCAGTTTCACAAATCAAAACTTGGCTTGCTAGCATTTTATAGGAATGTTTTAAAAGGGAATCCCCCCCTTTAAAATCACAAACAATTGTTCTGGGAGTCTGGTTTTGATGAGAAGAACCAAGTGGGACTTAAGGGGATAAATCTCCCATAGTATGAATTGTAGCTCTGCACAGTGTTTAGTTTTTTACATGTTGACAGAGATCTGCCTTTATGTCTCTTCCATCCCTGATGTTTTGTGTCTATATGGCACGATCAAGAGACGAGAAAACAACCTGGTATATGATCTGCCACACACAAATACAAACTACCAGCATTTTAAAAAATTCTTTATATTAAGTGTTTTTCTGCTTTAACTCATTCATCCCTCCATGGAATATAAGTCCTCAGAGTAAATCTTTAATATTGAAAGTGTTAGATACTGTAAAATGCCAATCAATGACATGAAGACATCTAAATTCACATTTAAATCTCTCTCTCTCTCTCTCTCTCTCTCTCTTTTACAAAAAACCCATATATTTATATATATTGCCACAAAACAAAAGTAAAAACTCATGCTGCAATGATACAAATATATTTTGGCTACCGAAGTCACAGTACACTGTTGCTATGCACACAAATTGAGGCACTCGATACCAGATTAACTTGGCGTTGGTAGTGAAGCGGAGACGATTGCTTAAACTGACAAAAAAAAATTCCCGGTTCTTCATCACTTTTTTTTAATTGGGTGAACATCTCTTTTACAGACCATATCGAAGAATGTGCTTTGTTGTGAAACACCAACTGATTTCTGTATTCTGTCAGGTGTTGTCATAGCAGAATCCACCACATTACTTGTATGTTGCATGTATCGCTGCCACAATAGGAGGGAAAAATAATTTTTATTGAATTTACAATGACCAGTGTTAAATAAAGAATTCTTTCATACAATGGCTATTTTATATTACACTAAATTGGCCATTTAAACAAATAAAGTTCAATAAATAATGAGTGGGGGAGGGAGGAATGGTCTCATTTACGTCTCCTTTCATAAATCTGTGCTGTGTTCCATTCAGAAGATCCTGTGAAGGAAAGAAAACAACAAAGTGGGAAATGTTAATAAAGCTCATGCTAAATAAGTCTGGAAGTGTCTGATAGTGCAATCCCAAACAAAGTTACCCCATTCTAAGTTCACTGATTGCACTATTAGGCATGATTTATTGTGAAGGCAATGTAACATGAGTATCTTGATAGAGGCCAAACTGTGCATGATGACTGGAAAAAAATGCCTTGTCCTTTTAACAGAAGCTTAATGTGTGGAAACTGGCAGATGAAGCTGGTTATGGCATGGAGGTAAATATTGACTTAAAGCAGCCAGGGAAGGGAGAGTTTATTGTGGAAAAATATGGAGGGGAACTTACCCTTTCTCCTTGTTGCATTCCCTATCCAGATCACCCTCCCAATAATGGAATTTCAGTAATTTGTTCCCCAGTTCCAAAACCCGTCCCTGGCTCGATCGTTCTCAAAGGCATGCGCTAAGAAACTTTGCTCTGCGATTAAAACCTGAACAGGTGCCATCATAAGGTTTGCCAGTACTGTTACTTTTTCATTTTCTTTCATACCCTGCTGTAATTTTCAATTTGTTTTCCACCAATGCAAATAGCATTTGTTACAATATGTTTGAACTGTGATCATTCATGCCTGGTAAATCAGCCACTTTAGCTGTATAACTGGCTGGGCTATAGCACTACATGATGGGGTTGGGGAAGATTAACTGTTGGAATGCTCCCCCATTAAAAAAAATAATCCCTTGCAATTTCCTTATTACCTGCCTTACCTACTCCACTGAGGCCCTGTTCACACGCGGCATTTGCGGTGGGAGAGGCACGAATGTTGGGTGGAGTATACGGGTGCAATCACAAGGACACATCTGGCAAGCATAGCACACCCATTGCCGACCCGTAGCATCCGCCCGAAGATCCAGAGTTAAAAAATACCTGGGAAAGCCTACTAGCAAATGGTTTGCTACGGGCCGTCAACGGAATACCTACGTGTGATCACTCAAGTGCGCTCTTGATGTGCGCCGAAAACACGCGCCGACAAACAAAACCCCACTTTGCTGCGGTGGTGTCTGATTGCATTCTGGTGCATTAAATTGTGCCGGCATGAAAAGCCACGCCTCCCACCCGCGTTATCTGGCCCGTGTGACTGGGGCCGTAGTTTCAGAACTAGCCTGGCAGGAAAAAGGTCTCTGACATTAGATGCTGCAACCATTTTATACTGTGGCAAATTTAACGATGAAATCCATCCCACCTTCATGAAAGCTGTAAAAGGCAGAAAGCCGGAGGAATTCTGACTGTCTCTTCCTACTCCCCTTTTCCTTACCTTTCATCATTGTGGTATACATTTTAGTGAGTAAAGCTGGGGACCTACATGGAATAGGGGGGAGCAGTTTCTGAAATCTCCCTTACCTCTTCCTCCTTAATTTGAGAAATATCTATCCTACAGTCACAATGACTATAGGATATATCCGATCATCTAAGGACAAAATATTCAGCAGTTCAATGTGTAGTCCCTGACCATTCACATAGATTTAGCTAAACATGAATGATCCCTTCTCCCAAACAGCATTACTATGTAATCCTCCCAGGGAGATTTATCTGTCCTCCTTGATCACTGCCTTTGGGCCTTCAGCCAGCAGGTGAAGACTTTGGTAAATCTGGGATACCTTCACTAAACCTCCCCCCCTTGCTTGTTTTTAATTGATGGTGTCTCTGTGTGGATGTATGGTGATTAAAAGGTGATTTTAAAAGTATTTGCTGAGGGCCCTAACTGGATGGAAAGGTGGCATACAAATATTTTAAATACATAAATAAATAAATATAAGAACCTGATGTTAATAAGATCATTAAGGTCACTCACATATCTGCTAGTGTTTGATTAGGACACAGGCGGATTTTTCAGTGAGGTTTATAATCCATATTTGTGATGATATAGATCCATTTGAAATGGATAAGGGTGAAATACAAGAGGTCTGAATCCATATATCCATTAATGATGTAAAAAGGTATATGAGCCAGAAAGAAGAGGATGTTCATATAGCACAGGAACTGCAAAGAGCCCCTGAGCTCCCTAAATACTCTGAATTTCCGGAATAGTTAAGACTTCCATCAACATTTTTTGGCAAGGTGTTTAGCATTGTCTGGCTGCCAAGCCTTCTCCTGCTAAGAGATGTTCCCACAATTAGCTCTTGAGTTACAAGCTCTCCAAAGGAATAAATCACTCAGAAAATGCTCATGAATCTCAAGCTGCATTCAGTTTCCCAAGCAATCTCAAGGGGATTTGATCTGTAACATGAAAAAGAACTGAATAATGACTAGTGGGCTTCAGACACACTGGCACTTCAGACGGGTAATAAATGGGTCGACCAAATGCCACCGTCGTTACTGAGGCAAAAATGTATTTGGAACTCTGCAGGAGGTGGGGAAATTCAGAGAGAAGCAATAGCAGACAGGGAAAGGTTAATTAAGTATCCCTCCTCCTGTCACTACTTTGTTCCAGACTTCCCTGCCCTGAATCTGCCTTTTCAAAAAGGGAGCCCTCATAGGGATATTGTGTTTGACCAGATGCACCCCGAGTGAGTCTTTGTAGGGGCCCTTTGCAGCCAATCAGTTGTGGTCTTCAGGAACTGTGATGTGAAAAGAGGGTAGGAGGAGCACAGATGTGCGGAAGGGCAGAAAGAGTGGGGTGATGGTCTTAGGTATCATCAAAAGAGAGGGATAGCAAAAGTACTTGCAGAATTAGGAATATTAGAGACAGACTGGAAAAGAAAGGTTACAGTGCTGTTTCAGAATGGAACTTCAAAACATCCAAGTAGAATCAGGATTTTAGAGTTAGAATTTAACTGGGGGGGGGGAGTTCTACAATGCACTTAGACAAAATGGTACTGTGGAATCTTTAGACATTTGTAAAATACTACACTGTCTTCGATGTACCTCTCAGAAATGGGGGGTTCAAGGTATTGTTTGATGTTTTCCACTGGCAAATTTCCAGTGAAATACTGATAACTCTGTCCTTGCTCTATAACTAGGCCACAATTCAGAATTCACATACCTTCAGGAAATCCCACTGAGGTGTTTTTTTTTGTCGGGAAAAAATAAAAACAAAATAAAACTCTAGAGTTTATTACACGCTGCATTAATGTCTCAGTGTATGATACGCCCAAGCATGGGGAAAAAAGGATTTACTTCCTAGTTTGTATTGTGTACATCACACAACCCTAGCTGTTTTTGTTTTGTTATGGTAGAGGCCAGTTCTACTTTCATATCTCATTGTCTTCAGTTCCTCAGACTCTATGGATAATATCCATATCTTCTAGAAAAGCAATGTATTGCTTCTTACCACTCTGTTCCCCTAAGTTTGGAGCCATCCTTCATCTTAGGCAGCACTGCTCCAAGAAGAGCCTCCAAGATGACTTTCCGTGGCAGAAGCTCTTTCTCTGGATGAAGGCACCAAGCTTGAATGTGTAGCTGGTGGAATATCATTGAATTTTATTTTTTTTAATGGAAAGAACCTGAAATTTAGTATCCTGGGTAAGGTTGCCTGGTATTTCACTAATTGTCCGGGGGGGGGGGATACCAAACATTTAAATGTCGGGGATTTTTTGTGAAGAGGCCTAGACAGTGTGGGGCTGTCCTGGTGACCCCACTAGAAGAGAAGACAGCCAGGCCAGGGGAAGCACGTGAAGCACAGGAATGCCAGCAGCAGGGATGGGCTACTCCGGCCACCCTCACCCTCAGAAGATAGCTGTGGGCCACGGAAAAGAGGGCAGTGGGTGAAGGAGACACTGGGGCAGAAGCACCTGCTCAGCAGCTCCTCCACCAAGCCCATGCATGAAGCAGCAGCAATTGCTGCTACATGTTGGGGCTTGGCAAGTCCGTTTTTTAAAAAAACCATCTGAGAACCCTAATCTGAGGTCTGGTTTATAGTGGTTTAGTATGGTGATGAATTATTCATACTCACTTCAGGAGAGTAGCTAGAAATTATTATATCCATTACAGTTATTTTGAAAGAATAAGAAGATATTTAAAGAGCGGATGTTTACACCTTGTGTATTGTACATTTTCAGACAACTGATCACAGTGGAAAGCGAATCCCAGCTGAGTTTGTCGATTGGTATTTCTGAGCATACAATCATTTTAATGGCTATTCCTCCCACAATAAATCCTTCACACAGTTGCTAATGATTTGTAAAACTAAATAAGAAATAGACATAACATTGAGGGAAGGAAACAGGCAGGCTGAAAATAAAGCCACTGACCATTGTAATGTTAGAAAATAGTCTCCAATGCAAGCTTAAATGTTCCAGATGCCACTGGGTGTTTGGCTCCTCAATCCACATAAGTAAATAATGGAGATTCCCTCCGGCCCCATAGTCTTTTTAACGTATTTAAGTCAATAATATCTTCAGGGGTGTTGTTAAATGAATACCCTGTGGACTAGCAGCACTCCTCATACTTTAAATTTATAAATTAAATCAGAACAAAATAGTACCAACAGAATACCAAGTTAATGTGTCATTAGATTTAACTGTAGAGGTATGTAGTGGCATCAAAGGCACCAGGAAGAATTGTATCTGCTGAGGAAAAGGTAGTAGAAGTGGAGGAACTGGACTAAAGGCACTCGGAGGGAATGGGACAGTTTGCACCAGGGTGGGTGTCATAGGCTTCATCTACTCCCAAAGTATCCATCTAATTTCTCGTCAGAGGATATATTCTCAAAACCCTTTGAAAAATAAAAATAGATTTAAAAGGTTGTGCTCTCAGTCTTATCTGTAGTTCATACATACCAGAATTTAAAGATCTTTTGCCCATGAGTCCAACAAATGAGTCTGTTTTATGTCCTGAAAAATATATTTGGGGTGTTTAAAAACATTTTAAATATGCCCTTTTCTGTAGTTTTGTGTTATCAATATGAATATAAGCTAGAATCAGGCTCTAGAAAAATCTGAGCTACCGATCAAAGGTGCCACCTTGCTAGGTCTCTCCATCCATGTGTACAGGCTCTGATCTATTCCTTGACCGAACAATTTTCACTTTTTAAAAATGGCTTTGGATTAACAATAACAAGTGGTTGAAATCTGTGACTGAGCTTGGAGGCACCTGGCATATTTCTTTCTTTCAAAATATCTTGGATTTTTTTTGGGGGGGAGCTTCTCTTCTGTTATTCGTAGTCAGCAACTCAGTCCGGTGACCATTTGTGGGCACCTTGCACTCCTCTGTCAGTGGAGAGGCTGGGCCCTTGCTTGTATGGAGCTGCTTCTCAATTGAGTTGTGTGGGACAGAGGGCTTGCATCATGCACTGCACTCCCCTAAGAGACATGACTGGGAAGGCACTTTGTGATTCACCTGCTTAAAAGAGTACTTTCCATTTCAGAGACCTTTCTGGGGATAAGTTTAACTTTCTCTTGTATTAAGAGATTCTTGTATTATATGCAATTCACTGCACATGTCACTGACTCTTAGGCTAACCTATGAGAGTTGCTGTAAGGATAAATGAATTAAAAAATGTAAAACACGGTAAGCAGAGATGGAACAGATGTTTCCTGAGGCGCATGCCTCAGCAGGATCTCACCCAAGCCAGCATCTCCTGTCCCTCTTCCTCCTCCTACCACTTCCTTTGCTCCATGAGCAGAGGAGATGGGCCGGGGGTCCTTCCGATTGGTGCTCCAGCAGATTGCTATTGCTCCAGGCCAGCCGCCAGGGTTTTGGCAACACCTTGGTTTAGCAGCCATGGCAGCAGTGACTGGCACCCCCTTGCCACTGTGACGTCTCCTTCCTCCCCAGCTTTCCACTTGCTTCTGCCTTCCTTCTGCCTCATTTTCCCCCTGTGGATGCACAGCCTGTGCATGCCAAGGCTTCATGCCCACAAATTCAATAAAAAAAGAAATGATCATCACTGACTTATGTGTGATATGTCATGTTTCCGTGAGCCTCACTGTTCTTCTTGCAAAACTGCCTTCCCTTTAGATTTTATATAGTCTGGTTATTGGACTGCTGGGAAACTGAATGTGGCAAGAAAATGTTAGTTCCAGTGGCTGGACTCCACCTTGAGTCAGATCCGTTCATTATGCTACACTAGTTTATCTGCACTCTGGTAATGATGCCGGAGGGGCTATTTTTGAAGGGTGGGAAATGGCTGCGGTCACATTCTAAGGCACTGATGTTGCATTTGACTTGTGCTGCTTGCTGGCATGCTTGCCTTCCCCCCCCCCCCCCCCGCGAAACCTGCCCGCTCAGGACACTCAACAATCCCCCCCCACAGTCTCTGAGGTTCTCTTCTCCAGAGGAAACACCCTTGAAAAACTTATCTGGATTAATCTGACAAAACATGAAAAGACTCTGCTGTTTTCTTTTTTAAATGGCTTGGATTTGGAATGGCATCTGTCTCAGCAGAGATTTTTGCCCAATCAACACGGCCGATCAATACATAATAAATGGCAAAGCTTTCAGGACTCAGACCTCTTTTGTATTTGAATGATCTCTTACAGACGAGCATTTTGACAGCAGCCAGGAGGTACAGAGAGGAGCACTCAATGAAACAGTTTTAACTGTGTTTAGAAGGTGATCTAAGGATTTAATACAGCCACCAGCCAAGAACTCCGGGAGCCTTACTAATCTTTGGTGCTGCATAATACTATATGTCTGTCTGTCAACATCAGTCATACTGAAATCCAAGCTTCTGGATTTGATCTGAAAGCTGCAGGCAGCTTCAGGGGAAATATGTTTTACGTGTCACTACTGATGTGCTTCTTCTTTGGGGAAATACAGTGGAACAGTCCAAACTCCTGTTGAACTGGCTTATGTAATATCCTGTGCATCACTTGGGCGCCCCATATGAGAATACAATTATAATGATTAGCTCGAGTTTGGATTTAGATTTTGACGTGAAGTCAAACTCGGTGACATTTGTGTAAATGTGGGATGATTGCCAAGCTTCGCGCAGATGAGGCTGGAAAGAGTTTGCAAGGTTTTATACTTAAGAATGATCTTGTGTTTTACATAAGAGCCTGAAAACTCTAAAACAAGAACCAGTGGGAATAAAGTCAGAATCCAGTGCGGTACTATGCAGAGTTATTCCAAACTAAGCCCATTGTGGGCTTAGACTGGAGCAACTCTGCATAGGTTTGTGCTGTAAATGGAACAATTTGAAAGGAGGGGGGGAAGGACAATTTTAGGAATTGTGGGTAGGGAAGGGCATGAACCAGTTCACAAACCAAAATTTGGCCTGAACTTAGGCTGGTTTGGAGCTCATGAACTGATGTTTGGGGAAGACACCCCGAACATTTACCGGACTTGTGGCCGGTTTGGTTCAGACATTTAAACCTAACAACTGAATTGTGTGGGGTCTGCCAGCCAGCTGTTTAGGTTTAAATGGCTGGCTGGCAACCATTTAATCTTTCAGTTTTTCTCCCCCCCCCTTTGAAGGGGATGGGAAATGAAACCAAAGGGGTAAATGACTGCCATTCATTTAAACCTAACAGCTGACCGATGGACCTGCCAAGCTGTTAGGCTTAAATGTCTACAAGCCATTAAACCCCTCGGTTTTGCTCCCCCCTTTGAAGTTGGGGGAAGCAAAACCAACAGGTTAAATGGCTGCCAGCTATTTAAACCTTTAAAGGAGTAACAACAAGCACACAGGGAACACGGCTAAGTTAGGTAAATACAGAAAACACCGTGTTGAAATAATATACACAATATTCACATGCACTTATAGCTAAATATATTTGATTTATATACACTACATCAACTCTAGTGTATTATAAACACCTTCAAACTACAACATCAACATTTCAACATTTTCAAACTAAATTACATAACACGAAGAGTCCATAATCGCAGAAACCCTCTCCAGTGTAAACTGTCTTCTTCCTGATGGAGGATAGATACCAATGTACAGTAATGTGTACCAAACAATACAGCAACCTATTGTACATTTCCCAAGTGATGATCCATCAGGTAAAGCTAGCAGGCAGCTTGTATTTCTCACTGTGATGATTCAGTTTAGCCAGCAAGCGTAGTAGATGTATTTTCCCATGAGGTGACTCAGCTAGCAAGTAAGCCTAGCAACACGCCTCCCGGGCATAACCTGCGTGTTTCGAACAAATCTTCTTCAGGCATATAAACTTTCCTGGAACCACAGCTCTTGAATTTACCCCTGCATAAGTCAGATAATGTAGAAATGGCTGTTCATTTTTACATTATCTGACTTATGCAGGGGTAAATTCAAGACTTATGCAGGGGTAAATTCAAGAGTATATATGCCTGAAGAAGCATATGTTTATATGCCTGAAGAAGCCGGGATGCGTGTTGGTAGGCTTACTTGCTAGCTGAGTCACCTCATGGGAAAATACATCTACTACGCTTGCTGGCTAAACTGAATCATCACAGTGAGAAATACAAGCTGCCTGCTAGCTTTACCTGATGGATCATCACTTGGGAAATGGAAATGGATGTGGCCTACAGGTCATATTCAGGATACATAAAGAAAAATAATCTGCCTGGGGAAATTGTCGTAAGATTCTCAAAGAGGCATGTAAGGGATGCAATCCTGAAAGCAGTATCTGGAGCACCCCTGAGAGCTGGGGAGAGTGTCATCAGAGTACTGAAGGATATTCCATTTGAAATAAGACAGCGGAGAAAGAAATATAAAGATCTTGTTCTTTTTCTTCAAACAAATTCAATTGGATATAGATGGTTAATTCCAGAAGGTATCACCTTTAAAATTAAGGATAAAAAAGAAAAGATTGACTCTGTTCTGAAAGCGAGAGAATTTTTAAGAGTCCAGCTGGGAGGGCCAGTGGAGGAAGAAAAAGAAGAGGACAGCAAGTCCAGTGGTGAGCTGTACTCGGGTTCCGCCGGAGAGGACTCTCTGTCTGAGAAAGGGGCAGCAGCTCCTAAAAGTCCTTATAAGTTGCGGAAGAGACTGGACAAGAAGAAGTGAAGGCTGAAGGACTCTGAATTGTGCCTTTGGAAAATTTTGAATTGAGATACTTTGGGGTATTTCCCGATATCAGTTAAATTTAAGATGTGGGGAAAGTTAACAGACTATGTGACACAGTTTGTAATGAGATTAATATGATTAAGACTAGATGTGTATTTAAGCTGATTAGAAGATCTCCTCTCTTGGGTTTTTAGTCAGTAGTGGGTATCTTTTCTTTATCCCCTTAAATGTAGTCCCCTTCCTTATTTCTGTTATAGTTTGTAGTTTTAATAAAAATGCAATAAAAAATTCCCCATCGGGGAGAAAAAAAAAAGGAAGAAGACAGTTTACACTGGAGTGGGTTTCTGCGATTATGGACTCTTCGTGTTATGTAATTTAGTTTGAAAATGTTGAAATGTTGATGTTGTAGTTTGAAGGTGTTTATAATACACTAGAGTTGATGTAGTGTATATAAATCAAATATATTTAGCTATAAATGCATGTGAATATTGTGTGCATTATTTCAACACGGTGTTTTCTGTGTTTACCTAGCTATTTAAACCTAACAGCAGCTGGTGGACCCAGTCAGCTGTTAAGTTTAAATGGCTGCAAGTCATGAAACCTATTGGTTTCACTCCCTCCCTTCAAAGTGGGGGAGCCATGGCCAAGAGAAAAGTGGAAGTCTCTTCCAGGGTGGTCCCCACCCCTTTTCTCCCTGTGGCTCACTGCAGCCATGAAAAGGGGTGAAATGGACTTGCTGGACTGGCTTGGTTCGGGTGGGGCCCTTTTGGGTCGGTTCACTTCCAGGTTTAGTTTGGGAGCTGCCCTGAACTGAGCCACTTTTTTTGGGTTCATGCCTATCCCTGTGGGTGCCCTCACAAAAGAGTGGTTTCGCATGTGATAGTGAAGTCCTCAAAGATGGGTGCATAAGTAATTAGCATATTTGCCTCTTGCACTTCCAGAGTAATTCAAAGATGGCGGAAGTCATGAATCTTCCCATGAATGACACATGAGCCTCATTTATTCACATGGTGTTCTGGCAGCTCCTAAAGGAGACCCAGAAGTCATCTCCATTAGGTAGCTCTTGTCATATGTAAAACCACGTTCAACCCACAGCACAGCAGGAACAGGCAATCTTGTCCCCCCCCCCCCAGCACGCCTTTCCTCAACAGCTATTTTTGGACTTGAAAAGGCACAGGTGTGTGTGGGGGGGTCCACTGTGTAGTGGCTCAATCAGGATACTGCCCTCATGGAATTTTTAAATGGCCAAATTCTTCTCTATAATGGCGACGGTGGCCATGGGTCTAGTTTGGCCCTAAGGCCCACTGAATGGGATTTAAATGTCGTGTGACTTGTTCCAGTGGTTTCAGTGGGGCCTAAGGAGGAACTGTGGGTGATGTGTAGTCCTGTGACTCATTTCATAGGCACTTCTTTGTCTTTGACATAACACAGCTGCCAGGACTGCAGTTTGTAGGGGGAAACTGGCAAGGGGGGGGGGAAGGATCTTCTTAACTCTTTTCCATTGCTCAGGTTACTTGTCGACAACCACTACCACGTTTCAGATTTTCACGGGTCCTCGTCAGTTTTCCTTACTGAAGTCAGATGTACTTGGGAGGGGTGTGATCTGTGGGGAAATAAGGCAAGCCCCTCCTCCCCTCCTTGGCAGCCTTTCTCTTTCAGGTGCCGCCCCAGGGACTGCATTCTCTAAAAAACGGAACCATCTCTTACAAGACTCATGAAGCTAACAGCACAAGTTGCATGTAACAGAAACCTCATTAGGCAGGACTCACAGTGCAACCCACAGCACAGTTACACCCTTCATTGTCCTTTAAAGTCACTGGGCTTAGAAGGGTGTAACGCTGTTTAGGACTGCATGGCAAGTCACTGTGAGCTTTAGCTGGGTTGGGCCCTGGCATTCAAAGACTGCCCCATTCACTCACGGGAGAATGTTCTTTGCACACAGTCCCATTGCACTTGCATAGGTTTCCTAACACAGAGGTTGACAGAGCAATTCTTGTTCATGCTCAGCACATTAGGTTTTCCGTGCCTGCATCAGAATTGCTGGATTGGCAGTCAAGCATTCAGAATCAGGGTGTAAGGTGGCAGTCTTGCATGCAAAATGCATTGAAATGGGTGAGTGAGTGGGCAGGAAAAATGGGAAAGACATAAACTTATGTCAACTTACTTTTATGAGATAGTGGGCCATATCCTGGGGAGGAAAACAGAGCAAAAATAAACATTAGCTAGGACAGATACTCAAATGGTGTGATTTTACTGCTGGCATTTGGGGGACGGGACAGATCAGCTTCACTACAGTGTACTTCCACTGCCTGAAACAATTCTTAGAAATTCATGGCCATGTAATACTGGGCACAATATGCCAGGATAACGTCTACTGAATGTCTTGCTCTATCCCATTCATTTGGGCAGCCAAGCAGATGGCAGAGACAGCTTTGCCTTGCCATAATGGCTGTACATCATAAGCCATAATGGTTGTATGTCATGAGCAAGGAGGGACCTAGAGACGGACCAGTCCTCCGAAGGGGGCCTAATCCAGCTATCACCTCCCAGAGGAAGAGGACGGGCAGCAGCGACTGCTACGATGCTGCAGCAGTTCAGGGCTAGCAATGGGTCTTCCAGGTTTGTTCAGTTGCCCAGTGATGCAAACTGACAAAGCTGTCTCTGCCATTCGCAGAGGTTGCATATCACAAACATAGGGCTGCTGGCTAAGAGGCACAAACCAACCCTTGGGCTCACATGTTCTTTAGACTCTGCCCAATGGAATTTTTAAAAAGATAATGGTCTCTTGTACTCCTAATGTTTGCTTTAGGTGAGACAATACAATAAACACTGTTGTATAGCCTTCTTAATGCAATAAATCTGATGTGCAAACCAGTTTTTCCATTTGAGTGATTCATGTAGAGGCTAAATGACAATCCTTGGAAGAACTACACTTTAACCACAAACATATTTATTTGCAAATGTCCCATTTATTTCAATGGAATATTTCTATAACAGCCACAATCCACTTGGGTTGCCAACTCTGAGTTGGGGGATTCCTGTGGATTTCTGGAGGCAACCTGGTGAGGGTAGGGTCTAGGGAAAAGAGGAACCTCAGTGGGGCATTGTGTGTAGAATAGCCAGGAGATCCTGAGATTGTCTGGCAGCCACAAATTCTAGCTCTTTTAGCGTTATGCACCACTAGGTGGCGAGCTAGACTTGTTTTTAAGGCAAGAGATGTTTCAGAGGTGTTTTTTGCCATTGCCTGCCTCTGATGGGACTGGGCCAGCCTCGGCTATCCAAGTCAGGGCTCAGTGCAGTAGAATGCCATAGCATCCACCCTCCAAAGCAGCCATTTTCTCTGGGGGAACTGATACCTGGCAACCCTACCTAAGAGAAATATTATGGCCTACGGTTTGTTTGTTTTTTATATAGTCTTCTACTGCTTTGTTCTAAACAGTTCTGGATATCCTATGCGGGAAGGAAGGACAGAGTAGAAATATTTTCAGCCAATAACGGTTGTTATATATAGTTATGATTTTTAAATTTTACCTTTCTGCTAGGGAAGTAAAGGCAGCATACACAGGGGTGCCCCATGAGGCAGTGACAGCTGAAGTCACAGTGCTGCTTGAGGCTGTGCGACCACGGCAGCTCGTCCTCCTTGCCTCCTCAGGCTCCCAGGCTTCTTCTTAAAAAAGCAGAGCAAGCTGTGCATGTCCTGGAGGACTTCCCAAACTCCCTCAAGAGCCCTTCTTCCCATGAGACTTGAGAAACAAATCCTGAGAGAGTTCGGGAAGCCCTACAGGGGATGTGCCATTTGCCATGTTTCTCCAGCTCTTGGGTTGCGATGTGGGCAACGAGGTGTTGGAGAAAGGGGGTGCATTCGGGAAAGCTGCTAGTTCTCCAAACCCTGTGCTTGAGGGGGCCACCTCGCTTGTCCAAATGATGGTGCTGTCCCTGACAGGAGGTCTCCCATTAATGCACTGACTGGACCCAGCTTGCCTTAGCTTTAGCAAGATTGCTCCGTTATGTGCTTTGCAATTGTTCCTTGGGAGGGACCACGAGAAGACAGGAATAGCAACCGATGAATAACAACGGTGTGCTGTCAAGTCACAACCACATCATGGCAGCCCCAGGATGATGGGGTTCTCAAAGCAAGAGAGGAGCCAAGGTCGTTTGCCATTGCCTTCCTCTGTGGAGCAATCCCTGTCTTCCTTGGTGGTTTCCAGTTCAAGTGCTGGCTATGGTCGATCTTGCTTACCTTCCAAGCTCTGATGAGATTGGGCTTGGCTGGCCTATCAGGCTGCTGAATACCAACTGGTTCCCCCCTCCTGTAATTCCAGTGATTTCTCAATCCCCTTTCTACAGCCTGTCTCTCTTACTCAACTGCCGGTCAATCTGACCTATAGTCTGGACCTGCCTAAGGGAGAAGAAAAGCAAAAGCTTGACTGCAGTCCCCCCTGGGACTGATGAGAGCAAGAATCCTTTGGGCAGGGCGGAAATATCTTGCTCCTGTCTTTTGTCTCTCACTGAGCACCTTGATCCCACTTTATAAATGTTACGTGTTAATAGTAGCAGGTGTTTTTTTTTAAACCCCCCCCACCAAAGTCTTCTCCAGAGACGAGAGTTTAAAAAGAAAATGTGGCTCAGCAGCTGTGGCTCTAAGCTGAGATTCCCACGCACAATAAATCCATCAAGCTGTTTTTAAAAAGAGAGAATCAAAAATGGGCCTCACCAGCATCTCGCTTTCCCATTAAGCCGTAAAACTGCTGAGGTCTGGGTCGCCTGGCAATTCTCTGGAGAAAGTGCTCAATGGGAAAGGGCAGCTCCTCCTGAAACAGAAGTAGGGTATGGTTAGTTGATTTTACGCTACTGACAGTTACGCTACTTACAGCTGTGAACAAGACAGACAAGGGCACTGTAGACCCAGCATGCTTCACTCCGTGCCCGTCACCTCCGTTGCTCACTTTTCTGACCTGTTCCTTTCCAAAATCTCACATAAGAGATTGTCCTATTGCAAAAAAGAAAAAAGGAACAAAAAAAGAGGATTTCCTCCCATGCAAATCCAGATCATGAACGAAGCAGAATCCAGATAGAACTCCTCAGTCTTAATCAGGAATCAAAGCCCCTATGCTCTGCCAGAATCAGGCCACTAGGGGGCAGTGGAAACACAGAGTCAGAAAATACTAAGACCTGATGTCTTGGGTTGAAACAAACTCTACCTTGGGAGTTCTAAGTACGTGTGTGTGTGTGTGTGTGTGTGTGTGTGTGTGTGTGTGTGTGAGAGAGAGAGAGAGAGAGAGAGAGAGAGAGAGAGAGAGAGAGAGAGAGAGTGTTTTTGTGTTTAGATACCATATAAGCATGATCCTGATTCAAACTAGGGCTGCAGTGCAACTGGAGAGCTGGAGGTGGGGGGTTAGTTAAGCCAACCTGAAATGGCCCAGTGTAGCCCAAGGTAGCTGCTATTTACCCATTAGAGAAAATATGTGTGTATGTATACAGTGCCATTGAGTCACAGCTGACTTATGGCAACCTCACAGTGTTTTCAAGGCAAGTGATTCAGCAGAGGTGGTTTGCCAGTGACTTCCTCTGCAAAGTCTTCCTTGGTGGGCTCCCATCCAAGTACTGAACCTGTTTAGCTTCCAGGTCTGACAAGATTGGGCTATACTATACCATTCCACATCCCTGTGGAGAAGGTACAGGTACTGCATTATGGCTTTATACTTGCCCCAACAGGTTAGGAAGAATTACCCTGGGTGTGGATTCGTGGAGGGTTGAATCAACTCTCCCTCCCCATATGGCCCCAATCCAAATCCTGTACCACACTTGCTCTTTTAAATGGGAAAAAATGCTCTGTACACACCAGTCCTACAGTCACATCCACTTTGGTCATACGGGATGCAACTCATATCCCCTGTTTCTGAGTTCACGTGTAAAATACCCATGGGGAAGAAAGTGGTCAACCAGAACTGGCAAATGACATGATGTACAATGGTTACATACCTCTTTGCCAGCACTATACCTTTGATCTGGTATCCCCCCACTTCCCTGTGACTGTTATTGTCTTATTTTAAAATTATTATTCTAATAATAATAATACAAGGAGAACAATATGAAATAGATAAACAGGATTTAAAAAAGAGGAAAGACGGTTTCTTACAATAGTTTACCATTAACACTGTTTTGCTGAGGATTCCAAAACAACCTAATTCATCTTCAATTTGCCCTACATTTCTTGACTTTTTAAACACTCCTCCTTAGTTCATATATTAGATGTAATCTTGCTCATTACAAATTTAACAAACCATTATCTTAGCCTAGGATTGTGTGTGTGTGTTGAGCCTGCGGGCAGTTTTGGAATGATGAGAAAGGGCTGTGTGCACTGCACCCTCACAAAATGGCTGCCACAGGAGGCAGAAAAAAACACACAAAATGGTTGTTATGGGGAATGAGGCCAAATACAAAATGGCTGCCAAGGGGGCTCAGGCTGATCATAATGTCTGGAGGTTCCAACTCAAGTATTCTCCCGTGATGAAGGCAAAGGCCTCTGAAATGGGTGCCGCCTGTCGATGCAAAGTTCAGGCCTTCTGGCCTCCGGGATCAGCTCTTTGCTATGGAGAAGAGATGCTGTTTGTTTTCTGTTTCAAAAGATTTGCTCCTTGTGAAGCCACAGGAAACGTTTGCCAGTCCCAGAAATATCAGGAAGTCTGTACCTTACTCTCTTACTGGACCAGGGCAGAAATGCTGTTCTGTGACCTCAGCATGTTAGGTGATGAAGAAGAAGAGATCGAGTCTCAGAGCGGCTTACAATCTCCTTTCCCTTCCTCTCCCCACAACAGACACCATGTGAGGTAGGAGAGCTCCAGTCAGGCAACTCTGGTGTTGACCACCACCCTACAAAATTCAGTCCTGCAGATATGTGTCCGCCAAATGAACACCGTTTCTGGAAGATTTCAAATAGATCAACAAGCAAATTATTGAGTTATGCATATCATGTTGGTTGTCTGAATTATCATGTTGATTGTCTGAATTATCATGTTGATTGTCTGAATTATCATGTTGATTGTCTGAATTATCATGTTGATTGTCTGAATTATCATGTTGATTGTCTGAATTATCATGTTGATTGTCTGAATTATCATGTTGATTGTCTGAATTATCATGTTGATTGTCTGAATTATCATGTTGATTGTCTGAATTATCATGTTGATTGTCTGAATTATCATGTTGATTGTCTGAATTATCATGTTGATTGTCTGAATTATCATGTTGATTGTCTGAATTATCATGTTGATTGTCTGAATTATCATGTTGATTGTCTGAATTATCATGTTGATTGTCTGAATTATCATGTTGATTGTCTGAATTATCATGTTGATTGTCTGAATTATCATGTTGATTGTCTGAATTATCATGTTGATTGTCTGAATTATCATGTTGATTGTCTGAATTATCATGTTGATTGTCTGAATTATCATGTTGATTGTCTGAATTATCATGTTGATTGTCTGAATTATCATGTTGATTGTCTGAATTATCTCGGTATCATGTTGATTGTCTGAATTATCTGCATTATCTCTTGCATTTAGACTTTTTTGCAGGACAACCAATGAAGTAAAAGGATTTTCCTGTGGCTTACCCACATTTCTAACACATACTACAACATTTACTACAAGTCTTAGACAATCTATGAGGCACTGCGTTCCGCTCTGATAATAATTTATAGCATTTTTTCCTCAAGGGAGGGACACCTTATCAGTTCTATGGCTGCATTTGGAATAACCATAAGAGATCATGCGCTGTACATTCATCTCCCCACAAAAATCAACTCAGAAACTCTAATTCAGTGATGGCAAACCTTTTAGACACCGAGTGCCCAAACTGCAACCCAAAACTCACTTATTTATCACAAAGTGCCAACACGGCAATTTAACCTGAATACTGAGGTTTTAGTTTAGAAAAAAACAACTCATACATTAACATAAGATGATCCAAACAAAGTCCGGAAAGCAATCCCAAATGCTTTCATTTACTTTGGCAGAGAATTCCACACTTTAATGATGGTCTGGGCCTGGCTGGGACGATGGCACGCGTGCCCACAGAGAGGGCTCTGAGTGCCGCCTCTGGCACGCGTGCCATAGGTTCGCCACCACTGCTCTAACTGGTCCAGAATGCCGCGGCTCAAGTATTAGTGGGAGTGAGATGGAGACTGCGTATTCCTCCCATTCTGCAGACACTCCATTGGCTGCCCATCTGCCACAAGGCCCAGTTTAAGGTATTGGCTACCACATACAAAGCCCTTCATGGCCTTGGCCCCCCTTATTTGTGGGACTGCCTCTCACCCTGTGCTCTGCCACGACAACTTCGCTCATGTCAGCAGGAGCTTCTGCAGGCGCCAAATGGGCAAAACCAGCAACTGCCCATACCCGTGTTTTCTCCATGGTGGCTCCCACCTTGTGGAATGGCCTCCCCAAGGAGGTCAGGAAAGGTCCCCCTCTCCTGGCCTTTCGTAAACTATGCAAGAAGGCTTTTCTGCACAAGTAATAGGGTTGCACTGTACAAAAGGGTTCACAAACGTACTTGGATAGATGATTGAGACTGTAGTCTCTATACCGCTGCACATAGCTTATCCAGACTTCTAAAATCCCAGTGCACTGATTACTGAATGTCCCATTTTCTTGATTGTACTGAATCACTCTATGTAATCTACCTTAAATCCTTGTGAGAAAGGTGGGCTATAGATAATGTAAATAAATACAAGTAAAATAAAAAATTGACTTTTTGAGTCAAATTACTCACGATACTGGAGTTCTGGGACTAGAAGCATAAAACTGCACCCCTCTAAGCTCACTGACTTCAGTGGGTTTGTTAAAGTGTCATTCTCTTTAGGATTGCCTTGTAAAGCTCTAGCCATATAATCTGCCCCCCAAAAGCAACTGCGGAAGAAGGAGGCTGATGTGTTACGCTGAAAGTTTTTAAAACTACCTCCCCTGCTGTTTCTACAACTGCAAATGCCTTTCCCCATTTTAAGCCTCCCAAGGGAAAAAGCACAATATGGACACTGGTCTTTTTTGTTCCCCAGCCAGGTTTCTAAATAGTGGGAGGACATTTGCAAATGGAAAAAGAGTATGGGACAAGACTTATCCCCAGCACTGCAGCCATACTCCATATCAGCCCCACCCAAGCAGCTGCTTTATAGAGCCAAATAACACATCTGGGGCTTCAGTCACAGAACTCCACTGTAATTTGGTGCTAGAGGCACTTTGGAGTCTCTGTTGCACATGTCAATGTTCTTGATGTGGGACTCACTATGGAAAAGAAATGTCATGTCCATTGTAGCCAATGGAGAATTTGTAGGACCACAACTGCTTGGATCAAAACCTAATTTTCAGTTAGAGAATCGGGTGGTGGTGGGGGAACATCTAAGGTGGGTCGTAGTGGCCTCCCAAAAACTCAGTCCCACCCTTGTGGCATGTTCCCTGAAGCAGTAGGCAGTGGGTCAGGGCTAAACGTTGTCATCAAGCTGCCACATGCAGAAATGGGTCTGAGAAGAAACCTTCAAGAATGCCCACAAGCAATTGTCTTAATACACATGTGAAGGCTGCAAGCCAATCCATTTAGCCATATCTGCAGTAGTACAACAAATGTCTTTTGGACTGCAATTTGAATGCAAGCTGAAACACACCAAATTCTTTAGAGGAACCTCTCAGTGGATAGATGATATATTTTTTAAAAAGACAGGGCTGACCTGAATAATGTATTTTCCAATCTGGAAACTCTTCCCCTAAATCCCAAATGTATGGCTGCTCCATAGTGTGGAAGAGGCATTCCA